TGTCACTCCCTTGTGACCTGCTATTTTGGGGTGCCTTGATAGTCGAAGCAGACCTAGTGCTGTTGAAGCTAGAGAGGTGAGCAGTCTAAGTCTGATTCCCTGTAAAGACTTCTCTGTTGACACCCACCCCTTGGCGCTCATATGACCTTATGCTGTTGCGAGCGCCGTAAAACCCTCTACTATATATAAAACTGTGTGGGTGCTTGGAGGGCGCCATAGGGTACTTAAATTTCTCCTCTGTCTATATTCTTACTTTTTGCTCGCACCAAATGACCATTCTCTTTACTCAAACAAAATCGTTTCAACTGTTTTGACACAATATGATTTTCTGCAACACGAACAAAGAGGGTGGGTGGTTGGCGGGTGCTCTGGTGTGGTTTGCTTCTTCTTTCCTATCAAACACCTATTGTCCTTATCTCCCCTTCTTCTTTTTTATGTTTGATACTCTCTTGTAACAGCTCTAATCTTCTGGCGCTCATATGACCTTATGCAGTTGCGAGCGCCGTAAAACCTCTACTAAAACAAGAACAAAGAGGGTTTTCTTTTCCTCATTAGACACGGGCGGTCCTCTTGTCGTTTTCCTATTTCGTCTACTCGTCATCAGGTCGTTTTAGTGGGTGGTTGGCGTGTGCTCTGGTGTGGTTTGCTTCTTCTTTCCTATCAAACATCTATCATCCTTATCTTCCCTCCTTTTTTTGTGTTTGTTACTCTCTTGTAACACCTCTAATCTTCTGCACTTTTTGACCTGATTGTGTTGAGAGTAGCGTAAAACACTTACTAAAACAAAATGTAAAAGGTCATTGAAGGTGGCTGGCCGGTGCCCTATACGTACTTTGCTTCTTCTTTCCCATCAACTACATGTACCTATCGCCCTTGTCTCTCCTTCTTTTTGTGTTTGTTACTCTCTACTAACATCCCTATTCTTCGCACTTATATCACCTGATTGTTTTGCAAGAGCCGTAAAACTTACTTTTAGAAAATAATTCAAAATCAGGTTGTTCTGCAGTGTTCACAAATTTGTCTTCATTGTGGCGTCGGTGGTCTAGCGGTTAGGCTTTCGGATTATCAACTGCTGTTTCTTCCATTGACTCATCACTTTTCTTTTGATTTGTGGGTGGTTGGCGGGTGCTCTGGTGTGGTTTGCACCTTCTTTCCATTCAAACATCTATCAAACACCTATTGTCCTTATCTCTTCTCCTTCTTTTTGTGTTGGTTACTCTCTTGTAAGTGGGTGGTTGGCGGGTGTTCTGGTGTGGTTTGCTTCTTCTTTCCTATCTAACATCTATCGTCCTTTTCTCCCCTTCTTCTTTTTAATGTTTGTTACTCTCTTGTAACACCTCTAATCTGCTGGCGCTCATATGACCTTATGCAGTTGCGAGGGTCGTAAAACCTCTACTAAAACTAAAACTCTCTTGTAACACCTCTAACTTTCGGCATTTATATAACCTTATTGTGTTGCAAGTGCCATGAAACTCTTACTAAAACAAATAATAAATGTCGTTTTTCTGTATGTGTGGGCTATTTTCATGCCTCTTGCCCCGCAGACGGCACTGGAGAAATGGCGGTGTTCTCTTTGCCTTCTGATGTGGAAACAGTGACGTCATTGCTGTCTGCGATCTCCGACGACTTGGTAGCGTCCTGTGAGCTGGACTGAGGCTGGCGTGACGTCACTACGTACGGTGCTTTTGCCCCGGAGGTGGTTTTGTTTTTGCGCTGACTCGGAAACAGTTGTCTGTAGCTGTCCTTCACGCGGGAATTGACAAGCATACTAAAGGAAAACATAAGTCCCTGGAGACCAATCAGACCTGTGATGACGTAGCCAACCACCTCTTGGTCGATGACGTCATAGAGAAAGGCCAGCGCCCAGGTGACACCCGTGACGAAAGAGAGTCGGACGCAAGCGAACAGACCCAGCTTGTTGTGGAAGCTAGACCCGTCGCCAAAATTTGACCTCCTTCTAAGATGCCAGACCGTGACTACCATAAGGCAAACGTTGACGAGGACGACCAAACCTAACGGAGCGGCGAACGCGACGACCACAGACACGGAGTTGTTGATGAAACAGACGCGGGGGGAGCCATAGCCGAGGTCATATCTGGTCAGCTGGTTCACAATGATGGTCAGAGCTACGATGGTGACCGGCATGCCGATCGAGTAGAACGTGGCGAGAAAGAACGGCTTCTGGGATAGAAAGAAGGAGCGGGAGGAGAGCGGGAACCGGAGCTTGTAGAACCGCTCCAAGGTGCAGGCGTTGGTGGCGAAGATCGCGAAGAGCCAGCTGGCGTGGATGAAAACCCCGAAACAAGAACAGAGCAGGGGGTTCTCGAACTGCTCGATCGTGAACTCGTAGCTGGCCTGGGCCAGGATGTAAGCTCCGGTCAGCATCACGATACTTTTCCCGCCGCCGGATCTCAGTGTCGGGACCGTGACGTAGGTGACAAACGTCAGCAGCAGACACGATAGCGATACGCATGTGCAGACGATCGACACCAGACCGGATGTTGTCCAAGTATCGAAATAGTCGGAGCCCGATTCAATCCCAAGACATACTTCGGTTGGTGGTCTTAGTAAATGTAGGTAGTCGGATACACAAATTCTCACAGATTCGCTATCGATTATCTCTACTTTTGAACGTGGTATCGTTACGTTAGAGGAAAGAATATAAACATTAGCTTTATCGATATCGGTGAAATTTTCTTTGGAAAATTCCACAAACAGACATTTGTTTGTCTCGTAGTAATTCATGTAATAAATATTTTTTACCAAGCGTGACAAACTAAGCATCAGCATCCCATAACTTTCTCTTACCCTCAGAGACACATCTCTTTCGGCGGGGCAAGGAAAAGACTGAGCGCCCCAGCCTTGACAGTCAGAGTGTGGGGCAGCGACCACCTCCACCTCACCATCGAGATCGCCGTTCATGATGAAGGTAACAATTTCCACCACGTCAGTCTTCAACTTCTCCACAGCTTCGTCCGCCGCGGACAACTCCACAGATTCCCGCATGGCCACATTAGCACGAAGCAGCACAGAGGCCGTCTTCCCACCTTCACACCACTCGTCGATGTAGACGGAGAATTTAATCAAGACAAAATCGGCTCTGTTGCCGTTGACCAAGTGGTTCTGGATGGATCTGACTGCCATCTGGGAGATGTTCGTCTGGTCAGATTTGAAGCTAACTCTGAGACAGACATTGTAGCCCAGCAGTTGGGACACCAGGAAACCCCGACAGGTGGCGTTGTCGGCGCGGTACCTCGCCTCTCCACACTTCGGCTCGCGACAGCTACACTGGAAGTGGAAGAGGAATGTTGGTAATGAAATCATTACTAAACAAAAAGTTTGCGTCATTGAACAGTAATGAATTCTAACTCTTAACCTCTTCACTACTTTGCAGACGTATGTGATCTCCCAAACTGGTTCACTACCTTTACTATGTTTCTACTGGTGTATGGAGAGCGTTTGTGAAAGATTTAATTCAATTTATGCAGTTGCATATTGTTACTAAGGGGCAAAGCTTTGTTTATATTTCACTGGGGTAACATTATTTTTATCTTGTCTGTACAAAAATAGATGGTAACGTCTCAGCACTGAAAGGGTTATATACTTAATGGAAGTAGAACATTCCGAACCATCATGCACAACTAACTTTAATGTTGTTCATGTGTCATTTATGCAATGATTCTGATGATTCCTGGCTGCTTGTTCATGCAACACTTGGGTGGATAGGCATTATTGTTGATTGCAATTTCTTTTTGTTTCAATAAATGTGTCTTTCATATAATGGATATTTACATCCGTTTTAATAGACACCCCCCCTACCTACTCAGTTTTTCCCAACATTAGCATTGACATCCCTTTTAATCGATACCCCTTACCTTCCTAGTTTTTTTTCAAGACTGATATTGACAACAGCGTGACCTAGATTTATGTAACAACCTACCGTTGTTGAGTCATAAAAAGCCCCGGCCGGGCAGTCCGTCAGTTCCCGAGTGGGCGGAGCTTCCTGTTGCTCCTCCCCCAGCCCGCGAAAGTCCACGAGTGCCTGGTAGCTGACCCTGGCCACGTGACCGGTGTATCCGTACTGGACCAACTGTCTGAACATCTCCAAGTGCGTGGGAGACTTGTTGCACAAGTAGCAGAACATGTTCCTGTAGGCGGAGCCAAACACAGACGTGTAGCTCGCGCAAGCGTCCTCCATGTCCTTTGGGAAGTACTCCACCTGTCCACTCACGTTGCACGCGCTAGTCACCTGCTGGTCACGTGTGGTGCACGTACGCTGAGAGCCACGCCCATCCGGCGTGTAGGCCACGTGGCATCCGGTGGCGTTGACCCCGTCGTAGGAGAAGAGCAGTTTGAAGATGTCTTCGCGTGTCCTTGTCCTCTGGATGAGGAGTTCCGGGGTGGTGTCGCACCAGAGGTCCACTGTCCAGTTGGACACGTGACCGAGATCCAGGCCGTGGCAGCGTGCACAGTAGATGTTGCGGTATGTGTGACCTGGTGGGTGGGAGAAGGGAAAAGGGGTGTTTAGTTTTTGTAAGAGTTTTACGCCACTTGCAACACTGAATTAGGTCATATAAGTGCCGAAGATTAAAAGTGTGATAAGATAGTAACACACAAAGAAAAGGGGGAGAGACTCAGATCGTAAGGACTGTATGTTTCATAAGAAAGAAGGAGCAAATCATAAAAGTTTTACGGCGCTTGCAACACAGAGGTCGTATAAGTGCCGAAGATTAGAGCGTATTGGCGAAAACATAGACAAACTTAAGCGGCTGAAGATCGACGCAGACAGGCGCCAGTAGGTGTCTGCTTGACTCCACATAGAGGGCGCCTAAAGCCTAGATCTAGATATAAGAAACAAATTACACCACAACACAGCTGGTATTTACGAAGCATTTATTTGCAATTAAAAAAACCCCTATAAATTCCAAAAATATTGCTTAAAATGTAATTCTGCTCTGTTGCCTCCCTGATTTGACGACCCTGATTTTAAAAATGTAATTAGTTTTTGTCTCCCGTTAAGCACCAGCTCTGAAATGGCCATTTAAAAATGTCCCCTGTCCCGTCGGGTGACGTCACGCAAACCGCTCAACTCGAGTTGGTGACGGCGAGACGGCATTTTGAGTTCGTGACCTCAGTGCTTTGTTGGTGCATCTCCATTTTTAATAACAGTGAAAGCAGTTCACAACAAAGAGTGAGCTTTAAAAGAAGTCACATTTTCACTGTTAAAAAATGGAGATAGGACAAGAAAGCACTGAGGTCGCGAATTGACAACGAGACGCCCTTCCCAGTTTTTCGGCGCATTAAGAATGTAGTTTGGATCTCACTTATAAAGCCGACAACGCCGATCCGAGCTTAAAGCCGCCTGCTGTCTGCCAGCTCTATGTGACGCAAGTTGGAAATCAGAATGGAATTTTTATACCTATCGGCGCTTACTGAGTCCGTCTCCGAAATCGGCGTTCTCTAAGTTTTCGCCCTATTATTAGAGAGTAACATACAAAGAAAAGAAGGAGGAGAATTAAGGACGATAAATGTTTGATAGGAAAGAAGGAGGAAATCTAACCAGAGCGCCTACCAACCATCCAGTGTTGGGGGGGGGGGGGGTGACTGAGTGAGGGTGTGGAGGGGTGAGGGATGAATGAGGGGTCGGGTGTAGGGGAAGTTAGGTGGTAGGGAGTAAGGGAAGAGAGGGGATAGCGGGTAAGGGAATGGAAGGAGTAGGTGAGGGTGGGGGTGGGGGATGCAGAAAAAGTCGATTTTGGGAGTTGCTTGTGAACTTACATTGCAAATCGGAAGCTGATGTCGCTTTGTAGTGCATCTAGTTTTAAAGAAAAAAATGAGACCGGAATGAGAGCTGAAAAGCACCCTTGTTTACTTGATTTAATTTCTGTGTAAACGTAGTAGGTTTTGACTTCGACTACAGCCAAACCTATCGCTTCTCCTTTTATATAAAGAATCTATCCTCTTTATCTCTCCTTCTTTCCTATCAAACATCTATCCTCCTTATCTCTCTTTCTTTTTTCCTATCAAACATATAACCTCTTTATCTCTCTTTCCTACCTATCAAATATCTGGCTATTGTCCATATCTCACCTCATTCTTTCCTATCAAGTAATTTCCGTCCTTATCCCTCCTCCTTCTTTTCTTTGTAGGTTATTCTTTAGTAACATTTTCGGCTCTTGCATGACCAAATTGTTTGCAAGTACCGTAAAAGTCTTACAAAACCAAAACAAAACCCAAATTACCTGTGATGTCTGAGTATACCGGAAATGTCTGGTCCATGAGACTGATGTCCGGTCTGTGGCAGCGGTCTGTGTCCGGAGAGCTCTGGCGGTCCCTTGGACATCGGCTGACCATCGCAGCATACTCGCTCAACTCCAGTGTTCTTGGGGGGGGGGGGGAGAGATTGGAGGATATTTTCATTTCTTTGTAATGTACATGTTCGTGTTTGTACAAGAAGACTACTATTTGCTGTCGAAACTACCTTGGTCAATTAATTAGGCATCTTGCTCTTTTTTATCTTTTAAAATATATGTATTTTTACACGCTCATTGACCCAATTTAGACGAGCTTCCGACCCTATCTGTCAGGGCCAACACGGTCTGAGAGGGATACAATATTCCATCAGAAAGGTCGAGAGACTCGATACAAATTTTCTCTCCGCTCAGGAATCGAACTTGAGTTTCCTGCGTGCGATAGTGAAGCGCCTAAACGCTAAAAGCCTACAACAAATGCTGATTTAAAAAACAAAGAAAGAGACTGCCTTCGGGCGCCTCTTTCTTTTTTTTCGTAAAAATCGCCTGTACTGTCGGCGAGTACATGCCGGAACACGTACACTACCTTTCACCAGCAGATCGCTGACATTTCGCTACCTTAGAATTACAAAGTTCTTTCGGACATTTTTTGCTGTTTTAAGTTTTTAAGGCCATGGGGTCTGAAACCAAATGTTCTATCTGCTCTATCAAAATCGATTGTAGGATTACTCAGAGTAGGTATCAAGATATTCAAAGAATCGCATTCGAAAAAGCTTGACAACTTGTGAAACACACAATTTTTTTGTACTCAGAAGATATAACTTTTTGTAATTCTGGTGTAACGACTATTCTAGTTTGAGAGTTTTTACTTCAAGCGACAAACTGTTTTTGTAAAAGTGAAAAAAATTCCTCTAATGGCATTAGAGCAAATTTTTACAAAGAAAATCAAGATTGAAGCTGCCTAAAAGGAAAGGTATTGGAAAGAAATGTTTTTTTTTCTTTCTCGTAAACATCTCACCGATTGAGGTACGGGAAGGGGATCAGGCCCACACACTCCGTGACGTCATCGTTGGTGATGTTGTAGTCGCTGACGTGGCCGTTCAGGATGACGTCAGGGCAACAGTCGCGGTAGAAGACACAGAGCAGGTCACAGTGGCACCGACCACACATGGGCCAGCGGGGCACGAAGGTGGAGTGGGGATAGCCTCTGCCGAACGTCTGGCAGTCGAACTGACAGATCTGTGTCAGGGAAGTGAAGGGGGTGTTACATGATCAGTTAAAACCGTTAAAACTGGCAGATCTGTGTCAGGGAAGTGGAAGGGGAGTTACACGATCAGTTAAAACCGTTAAAACTGGCAGATCTGTGTCAGGGAAGTGAAAGGGGGTGTCACACGAACAGTTAAAACTGTTAAAACTGGTGGATATGTGTCAGGGAATTGAAAGGGGGTGTTACACGATCAGTTAAAACCATTAAAGGTGGTAGATCTGTGTCAGGAACGTGAGGGGGGGGGGGTG